GCAGCCACATTTAACCGGAAAACACGCGCACCTCAGAAGTAGTCAAAGAACAAATGACAGAATATGAAGGGAAAAGCTGGGACTAAGAGGATTTGCCTGGTGGAGACCACTGTGAATGGCTCTGAGCAGGATTTATAGTATCTGGTTGTCATTCTGCCTTTCCTTGTGAGTCTGCCTACCCGAGGCCCCTTGTCTACAGATGGCAGCCTCTATGGAGGGTGAAGCCTTCAGGCCTCAAGGACAAAACAAGGCCACAGCTGAGGACTGCTGGCTCCAATCTCACTTCACTAAGTAAAGACCATAGCCTCAGGCATCTCACTTCTGTATTACTTGGAAGAGTCCTTGAAGGGATTCCCCAGTCCTGCCCAGATTCCTGGATTTTCTTCAGTAGTCCCCTCTTTGATAACTAAATAAATATGGCTGCCTACAGAAGCTCCTGATCTTAAACCCCAGAAAATCTTGGTAAGAGGATTTTTGATTCTCCTCAAGCCCTGAAATCATTTTATTCATCTCATTTAGTTAGGTTATCGCCATCCACTGATTTGGGAGTTTTGGGATGATCGACCTGCAGTAACTAAGGGATAACAGTAACCCAATATTCACCCACAGCAAGAAATTAAAAGCTGTGCCAAAATGAAGGAACAGCAGGAAAGGGCAGGTATTGCTGCCACAGAAGCTAGCGAGGAGCGAGGAAGGAACCCAGTGAGGAAGAACTGGAGGACACCCCTGAGAAAGGAGAAATGCTCACAGAGACAACAGTCAGAAAAGACCAGGCAGAGCAGCAAAGGATGATGGGAATGGTGGACACTGGAGGAAGGCACAGAGCTCCAGGAAAGAGAACGCTGCCTCCAGGTACTGAGACGTACACAAGTCTAACTGCTTCATGAAAGGAGCCCACAATGATGACAGTGATGAGAGAAAAGCACAAAGGACCCAAAAGGAAGGAAGGATGGCAACGAGGGCTGAAGAGACCGACTCCGCTACATCTCCTGGTAAGATCAAGGAAAGAGGACAGACTATGAGACGTTGAAGCTTTATGGACTAGCTGCTTGCATCCCCTCTCGATTCATATGCTAAACCCTAACTCCCTGTGGGATAATACGAGTAGGTAGGGCCTTTACAGGTGCTTATGTCAGAAAGGTGGAGACCTCAGAGCAGGAAGAGTGGTTTTATAAGAAGAGACAGGAGGAGCCCAGGTGGGAGTAGAGCTGTGTTAAGGCCCTTGTGGGCCGGAGAGATAGCTCAGCAGACTAAGCACCTGGTTTAGCAAGTACAGGGACCACAGTTCAATTCCTGGTCCCACAGGCTGTGCTGGCCCCACCCCAGGTAAACAGAGCCAGCAACAGAGTCCAGGAGTAGTTCTTATCTCTGTACCTAAGGAAAGCTATAATAAGCTAGAAATCAATAGCTAGGCTTGTATATATAAGTATATACCATACACAATTATTTACATTATCATCATAAACAAATAAAATTCTATCATGCAGCCAAGGATTGTGGTGAATGCCTGTAATCTCAGCATTCAAGAGGCTGAGGCAGGAGGATTGCCATGAGTATGAGGCTGGCCTGGGCTACAGAGAGAGATCAAGGCCAGCCTGAACTACACAAGACCTTATTTCAAAAATAGATGGGTAGGGCTGGTGAGATGGCTCAGTGGTCTAAAGCATCTACTTAGAACAAGCTAAGCTAAGCAAAGCACAGGGACCACGGTTCAATCCCCCAGCACCACATGCCGGCCAGCCCCGTACCCTGATGGGCTGAGCTGGCCACACACACACACACACACACACACACACACACACACACACAAAAATAAATAAATAAATAAATAAATATTTTGAAAAAAAAAATAGATGGGTAGGTAGATGATAGATGGGTAGACAGATGGATAGATACATAAATGCATAGATGATATGTAGATAGATAGATAGATAGATAGATAGATAGATAGATAGATAGATAGATAGATAGACCGACAGATAAAATTCTATTGTGTGAAGAAAAAAAAAACTGCTTTAAGACTATAAAAATAAAATCTTAGAGAAGCTATTACTGGTCAGTTTATAAATAAAATAAAGTATATATGATTAGTGGCTCCTTTTTAAGTACTGCTTCCTGTGTTCTAAATAACATCCTGATTACTCTAAGCTCTGCAGAATCTCTTCCAGTGGGTGTTATTGCTGTTGCAGCACAAGGAAGGGTCGGGCAGTGGCCTGCTCCACATCACGCAGCCGTTGACTAGTAGATCCAGGGCTGCCTGCAGACCGCCTGGCTGCCGCGGGTGTGCACGTGGCGCCGCCCCTGAAGCACGAAGCTCGCTTTCACGTCAAGATTTCTCCGAGATCCACTTAAAATGAAACTGGGTAGGTCTGAGATAAATAAAAAGTAATCACAAAATGAACTAAAAAAAAAACTTGAAAACAGAAAGAAAATCTCCTGAATCCTAAAGAATAAAACACATTAAAAGCAAACAGAATCAGCGAGTCCCCGAGGAGTCCAGGAGGGTGGCAGGCCACAGGGAAAGGAGGTGCGTCATCTCCGAAGGTGCGTCAGAGCCTCCCACCGGCTGCCCCTAGTAACAAGGCCCAGAAGCGGGGCTGGGTGACTCTCTGGTCTCCCCCACGATGTGGAAACACCAGTCCCTGCAGCCGGAGCAGAGGCCCCCCCACACACACACAACTCGTGTCACCTGGCTCAGTGCCACGCACACGGCTCTTGGCACGTGGACTTTGATCACTACGGTCCCAGTTCACAACCTAACACACCCTTAGAGCCTGCTTAGAGGGGGGAAACATGGTTTCGACCTGTTTTCTGCTCGCTGCTGCTAAGAATTTGGCTGAATATATGACATTAGCAAGCTTTTTTTAGGAGGATAATGCAGTAAAACATTCTTCAGAGAAACAACAAACCTGAGCTGAATGGCTGTTTATTTTACTGACGCTTGTGACACAGAATTTGTTCTGTGTGGAGCTGAGGGAAATGACCATCCTAAGCAACTTTGTTCACACAATCCACCCTCTGGGATCCATGGGGGCTTTGTTCAGCTGCTGTACTTGCCCTTAACTTCCTGCTGCTGTTGCTCAGGTTACCCGGGAATCTGGTGCAAAGCACCATCATCATTCCCTTCCAGACGTTGGAAATGGAAAAGCATACATCATCTCTCTCCCTCCACCACCACCTCTTCCCCCCGAGATTGTGAATCTGTACAAGAGACCACGAAGGCAGTTATTCTGCCGAGACTCGGGTCCGGTGGCCTGCCTGGGCTGGCCTTTATTACATCTATTATCTGCTATTGAGAGTTTTTTCCAAAAGATAGAGTACGTCCCTTGCTGTGAAAATGGTGTACTTCAAAATCATGTCATTGGCTTTTCTATTCCCCTAAGTATGAACACTCAACAATCAGCCGAGACTGGTGCCCAGGAAAGGGTGGCTCTTTGCACAGAAGGTAGGTCACCTGCAGCCCTGGGCCAAGATAGAGCTGGCAGAGAAAACACAGCTCTTCCATAGACCCAGCAGCTGCAAGTAAAACTGAAGCCAGGGAAAAGTTCAGAAGTAGAGATCAAAATCTCAAAAAGCCAACAGTCACACTTATAACATTCACTTGTTTTCTTCTAAGCTATCATTTGCAGCTAAAATTAAATTTACTTTTCCGATAAAAGTGTTCTCATTCACAGAAGATAATGATGTGACTTTACCAAAGAGGTCACAGCTGGTCTTCTTCACAGCCCCTCTTCACACAGCCTTGTCTAGTTTCCATGTGGAAAGTGAATGTACTTCCCAAGCCCACTGCTTATATTTATTGTATATAAAAGTGATCCTGCCCCTCCACAGATTCTACCACTTGTCCCGAGAGATTGGATCTCAGGCCCAGAAATCACTAATACACTGACCGGACACTGCATCTTATACTAGGTTTGCCCCTCTCGTTCTTAACTTCATCTACAGAAAACCCACTTCCGTTAAGAACAGTCTTCTAGAAATACAAAAGTAGAAGTTGGATGCATTCACATTAAGAACTGATAAGAAATGCCACATGTTGGCAATTGATATTGTGTCTTGCCTTGTTTTGTTTTTTATGTATTTAGTACAAGATCTACCAGGGTCTCACTACACAGATTGGACTTGTAGTGATTCTCCTGCTTTCAGCCTCCCAAGCACTGGGATTACAGGTGCACGCCACCATGCCTAGTCTCAATCACTGACTCAGAGCGCCCTGGGGGCAGGGCTGGTACAGCATGCCCGGGGTTAAACCCTGGTCCCTGCGCCTGGCTAAGCGGTTACTTTAGTCCACTGAGCTATCTGGCTAGCCCTGTGATTTATTATTGTTGTACATTTCAAACCCAATGAGTGGCTATTAGTATTTAATACCCTGTTTATTTTAAATATAATCTGAAAACAGGTTTTCACTATTAGTCATGTAGGCCTGGCACGTTTTTATTAGAATGAGGCAGGAGCTTTGAGAAAAGCAAAGATTCTGAAACTCAGTGCCTAATGAAGTTATTTATGTGATTAATCAAATTCAACAAGCTCTCTTAAATGAAAATTCTTCATTGATTAGTTTTGTCATGTTGATAAACTCACTGGTACAGTAAAGAGGAGAGTTGCTTTACAAACTTCTCCAAAGCAGACATATAAAAATTATGGGATGGTGAGATAGCTCAGCAGACTAAGTGCCTCCTTTGGCAAACACAGGGAGCAGGGTTCGATCCCCAGCCTGCAGGCCGTACCCCCAGGGCGTGCTGATCCGCCACAGAGTCTGGGCATGGTGGCGCATGCCTGTAATCCCAGCACTGGGGAAGCTGAAAACTGGAGGATTCCTATGAGTACGAGCTGTGTAGTGAGACCCTGTACAAAATACACTAAACACACACACACATAAAAAAAAAAAAAAAATAGAATCATGCTTCTCTTTTTCCTGCTGGTACTCAAATAGGTCACATAGTGTAATAAAAAGCTTTGCTATATTTTGGAAAGCAGAATTTTAAATATTAGCTTCCTACCTCGTGCAGAAGTTCCCCTTCTTCATCATTCATCTCAACGTGCTTTTCTTCAAGCCAGCTTTGAAGACCAGGGTACCCCCACGCCCTGCTCCCAACACACATTTATATGGTGCTTCCACAAAGACATCAGGTGACGCCTTCCAGCAAGGCCTTTTCCAGTGGGGAGCTGGCAGGTAATGAAAGATAAACATCACACTCTGTCATGCCCGCAGCAGCGTGCTAGAAATGCTCTAGAAGAATCGAATAACAAACGCTCGCTTATGCCTGACTGCCTGCAAAGAAAGGACATACAAAGCTGAAAATTGTGTGGATTGACAATTTCCTCCCACGTACTAAATTTTTGTTGTATAACAATTGTGTTCTGGAATGAAATCTCTCATTACACTCAGATGATGAGACATTTATTAGACAACGGTGCTATCAAAGCCCACAGACAAAAATAAAAGTGGAAAAATACGTACAGCTGTCAGTGACCTAGATTTTTACCAATGGCAAACATCCATTCATTTATAACTCCCAGTTTCATTTCCTTTTCTGGGCCCCTCTGGTCACCAAATTAATTCTGTCCTTTTGCGCAAGAACTGTTGCCATTTTTCTTTTGCCTTTTTAATTTTCAAAATGTCAATAGCAAAGCCTGGCTAGCCCAGCTGTCCACGATGAACTTGGTATCATCTGCCAGTGCCCCTAGGGTCCTAGAAAACAAGGCTAACTTGGTCGGAGGAAGTCAGGACAGCATTCTCCTCAGGGGTGAAGCAAGTCTGGATTTCTTCTTCTTCTTCTTCTTCTTCTTCTTCTTCTTCTTCTTCTTCTTCTTCTTCTTCTTCTTCTTCTTCTTCTTCTTCTTCTTCTCTTTGTCTTCTTCTTCTTCCTCTTCTTCTTCCTCTTCCTCTTCCTCTTCTTCTTCCTCTTCCTCTGCCTCCAAGTGCTGCTTGAGGCCTGATGGAGAGGAGAGGAGTTTGTTCTCAATCAAGCTCAATGCCCTATGAGGGTTTTCCTCAGACTGGCCTCCAGAATGGAAGATCACCAGGGCAATCAGGACAGTGATCACGCTGTTCCCGTGTTGGCTGTTTCCAGCCCCAGTTCTAATGTGTCTGCTCAGAGCTACCTCATCCACTCGAGGTTTTGGATTCAGATCTAACCTCACTCGCAGCTGGGGATGGACATTTCGATTCCCCCAGGAGAAGCCCTGCCTGGGGCCTCCCAGCCTGCCCAGCTTGGCTGCTTGTCCCTGGCTGTCAGCTGGGGCCACAGTGTCTTGTGCCCAATCTTCACTCAGGTGTGTGCCAACCTTCCTCTGAGAATGATCCGAAACAGGTGCCTTGTCTGGGTCAGAAGGTGAATATTTGGTTAAAAAAAAAAAAAGAACTCTGAACTGCTTCTCTATGTCAGAGAAGAAACTGCTCAAACTGGGATCTGTGTGAGAATGTGTCCACAAAATCGTGTCCTTGTGGTATTACCTCCGACTTTATTATCATCAACACGAATCTTATTTTATTTCTTTTTCTTTCCTTATTTTTCTAATCTCATCCATGAGGCTTTTTATTCTATCTGTCCCTAGGGTCTTGATTTTATTGTTTTTGTTTGTTTGTTTTTGGTTTTTTGCTCAGAACTGGGAATCAAACTCAGAACTTTGTACTTGCCAGGCAGACACTTTTGCCACTGAGCTATATCCCCGGCTCCTTTGATTTTAAATATATTAAGACACTTAGATGCATTTTAAAAATATTACTTTAAATAAATCTACATATAGAATTGTAAGAGGACCCAATATGGGGCTTTTATTCGTTGAAGGTTTTTTTCTATAGTTGTACAGTCATTAGCTTTTGTTTTTATGCCCAACTCTATTTTTTTCTTTTTTCTTTCCACTTTCTTATCTCTCTTTTCAATTTTACAAATTCCATTATATTTTCAATTTACCCTCTGTGTCTTCCTTTATTTTTTTTTCTTTTTCTTTTCTATGGTTCTGGCTTCTTTTAATGAAACCCTAATACAGAGCTCAAACATTCTATTAATTTAAGTTGCTGCACTGCTGATGAGATTTGCTCTCTGTTCCTATAGAAAGCAGGGTATTTGACTATGCATGGAGGGTCTGGTCCATAATCCCAGCATTTAGGAGGCTAAGGCAGGATTGTTACAAATTCAAGGTCAGAAAATTCTGTTGCAAAAAAATATAAATAAAATAAAATAAAAACTGGATATCCGAAATTTTCCAGGACTAGTACAGGGACTGGCATTCATTCCCTGGCCCCAGGGCACACTGAGCCAGTGATCAAGACCAGGCATGGTGTTAGACACCTATAATCCCAATGCTGGGGAGGTTGAAAACAGAAGCATCTCTACGAATCCAAGCTGCGTAGTAAGACCCTGTACCAAATACCTTTAAAAAAATAAAAAATAAAAAAGAATGTAGGGTGGGCCAAATACCACAGCAGATTATAGAGACTGCAAGCAGGTGAAGGGGCCAGAGGTTCTATCCCCAGGCCTGTGCTGGCCCCGCCCCTGGGGCATGCTTGAACAGCAATTGAGTCTGGGCATGGTGGCTTGCTCCTGTAATTCCAGCTCTTGGGAGGCTATAAACGGGCGTATCACTATGAGTCTGATCTAGTAGTGAGATCCTGAACACCCTGTAGACCCCTCCCTAAAATACAAAAAAAAGATTCTTTAGGTCTACTGGATTATATCAGATTATTTTTCTGAATTCATACACCTATAATATTTGAATGGCAATGGAATACCCAACTCCAACATAACTAAACAAAAAAGGGAGATACAAATAAAGAACCATTTTATAGTGAAAAAATATATAGAGAGAGACACATATAGATATAGATATAGATATCTGCATATACAAAATAGGATAGATGTACAGCTACTTTCTCTTAGTTCAATGAGAAGAAAGATTGGTACTAATAGTGCTTAGACATCATGTCTGCATCTTGTACTATGAATAACTACTACAAAGACAACAATACACAATGCATTAATTATTGTAACTATCCTACTAATCTATTTTGAAACTATCTCACTGCTATTTCTTTATCAATAAAATTAATTTTTTTTTTCAGAACCAGGGATTGAACTCAGGCCCTTGCGCTTGCCAGGGAAGCACTTATTCTACTGAGCCATCTCCCCAGCGCCCCAAAAAATAATTTAATGTTTTCTATTTCTTTAAAAAAAAAAAAAAAAGAACTGACATCTCCTCACTGATCGCCTTTCAAGTCTATTACCGTCCCAGGATCTCCAGTCCATCATTATTAACTTCCCAGTTCAATTTTTTCCTTCCCTCCCATTATGTTTCAAACTTTTCCTTATTCCAAATCTCAAGTTTAGCAATTTAATACCTTCCCAATTTCCTTGCATAGTCATTTATTTACTAAAGTAAATTGTATTTATTCTTAAAATTCATTTTTCTGGTTGTACTAGTTATTGAAAGCATGGAATTTAATTAAATATTATGTAAACCACTACAACAAAGAGATAGTGCTTCAACTAAATGTCTAAAGAAGACTTGAAAATGGTACATAAGTAACAAAACTTCAGGGGCCAGGGAGATGGCTCAGTGGTCTAAGCGCCCGCCTGGCACATGCAAGGACCCGGGTTCTCCTCACTACATGTCTTTCCATCCCCACCCCCAGCACACTGAGCCAGCCACGGAAACCCAGCTTGGTGACACATGCCCGTAATCCCAGCAGTGGGGAAAGCTGATACAGGAGGATCGCTATGAGTCCCATCTGCATAGCAAGATCCTGTACCAAACACATAATTAAATAAAAAACACATTTATTTATAATCAAAATTAGTTTTGAATATGATCTGATCTGTACAGTTGTTAGAAAAAATAGACAAGTTTTCAAAGTTTAGAATCTTTTCAGGTTTTCTTATAGTAATTGTGAAGGTCTTGCTTCACAAAAATGGAGATCTGGTCCTTTGGTAACATACATTATCATAGTGGTTTATGTCAGAAACACAATATGGGATTCATCTCCGTGGATGCCTGTGCATTAGCTAATAGCCTGGCCCCAGACTCCACGCACTCAGCATGGGGACCAGAGGCTGGGAAAGGATCCTGCTCAAAAGGGAGAATGAAGGAAGACCTAAGAAAACATATGTATAAAGGGAGGCGCTTCATTATTTATTCATGACTTTCTAAGAAAAAAAACACTCATTTTTTTTTTTTGTCTGACCCAAGTGGAGCACTTACCTGACCATTTAGAACAAAAAGCAACTTATCAGCCTTTTTTAGGTCACTTGAGTTTTCGGAGTTTGTGTTACACACCATATATTTAGCTTTCTTAAACAACGAAGACTTCAGATGGGGGGCAGGGAGATGGCTCAGTAGAATAAGCACTTGCCCGGCAAGCGCAGGGTCTGAGTTCAATCCCCGGTTCTGCCAAAAAAAAATAAAACAGATGGTTTCAGTCTACAGGAAAATTAGACGGTTCTTTAGCTGTTCAAAATAGGTAACAGCTGAAGGCTTGAGAAGAGAACAAATTTCCGAATGCCATCTGTCCATAATCTGAAGTCAAGATGGATTTTACCTATTTTTGTTTCTCCTTTCTTAGACATGCTGATTTGATTTCTTCTCGATTTCTCAATAAGAATAATTCCTGAAGTAAAGAAATGTTCAAAGAGGTGCAGAGGATTAGCTTAGTGGGGTAGTACCTGCCTAGCAAGTGTGGGGCCCTGGGTTCAATTCCAAGTATTTAAAAAAAAAGAAGTGTTAAAAGAAAATATTAAGCGATAATTAAAATTCTCATGTGAATTTAAAGTATAATTTTGATTTTTTTTTTTTAGTTTAACTTTTATGGGCAATAGTTTATTTCAACTCTTTGCCTGTTTCATGGGTTCTTTTTATAAATATGTGTGTGTGTGTATATTCCATGACCTATTGGGAAGTTCTTGATGCTTTCTAGGAAGTTCTTGGCAGTTTCAAGTTCATCCTTGAGCTTGTTGGCACAATAACTCCGCAGCTGAAGCAGCACCACGGGCTTACTATCCTGGCCACTACCATAACCACTTCTTGGGCTGAGGTAAACGTGGGGTGCATAAGAAAATCCATAATATTAACACGATAGTGCACTGAGACTTACTATTACTTAAAATCAGTTTTCCAAAGGACAAACCAAATATTAGTAAATGGCTTAAGAGATGCACAGAAGAATAATCAACAGATCCATATTTAATTTGATCTATTCAGAGTTGTGTAAAGCACAGCGAGTGTAGACTTGCTACTATGAATATAAAACTCAAGATTTTCCCCTACCCAATCCTATGCCTGAGTAGGGGATGAACTGACATACTTTTTTTTTTTAGTACAGGGTCTACAGGGTCTCACTACACAGATTGAACTCATAGTGATCCTCCTGTTTTCAGCCTCCAAAGCACTGGGGTTACAGGCACACGCCACCACGTCCAGTCTCAATTGCTGTCTCAGCTCACCCTGGGGGCAGGGCTGGCGCGGCACACTGAGGATCAAGTCCGGGACCTGCGCCTGCCTGAGCAGGTATTTTAGTCCACTGAGCTATCTGGCCAGCCCCACAAT